TTATTATGCCTGAAACGCCAGCATCTCAGGTTAAACCTCACAACATGTCGTCAAACACCATGCAGCTAAAACAGTAACTGGGAGCAGGTTTACGGATTCTGCATACAAACGTGAACACAGAGCGCGGACCCGACGCGTCAGAGTCAGATTTTGATGTGTCGGCGGGTCCGCGCTGTGTTTGCCTCTTTTTTTTTCGCTGGCTTCTGCAGCTGCAGGTTTCATAACTCTCTGTTTACATCTCTAATTAAGTCTCACATGTGTCAGCTTTCTTTTAATAGATACGAAATTATGGATATATACTGTTAAATGATCAGACTTGTAATATTTCTGACTGAGGCAAAACTTTCCAGATTCCAATCAAATTGAATCGGATCCTGTATCGAATCAAAATGATTCTACAAATCAGTGACGATGCAGCCGTACTCAGCTTCCTAAGCATTTTCCCTTTCCAGTTCACAATCAATCCCACCCTAGGTCAAAAATATGTATAGGACAATTGGCCTAATCTAATATTTTGTATGAACCTGTCCAGCTGTCCAGTGATTAAACGACAAGTAGATGGAGGCAGGACTTCACAGCAGGGGCATACTCCATAATGTGCTGTGCATTATCATATGTATATTATATATATTGCTCACTTATTGTATTTACCAACATCAAGGAGTTATGAGCAAAGAAAGGCCACACCATAGTGCATGTTTAAATAGGGAAAGTTTATTGATCAAAATGTATTACGCAAATACGCATTACATTTTTTTCAGCCCCCCAATCGAGAAAACAAAACCAATTACATGTTCAAAGCAACGGAACGGTGGCCCAATATCAGAGAGAACTCCACTCTTGAGTGAGCAGTGATAATTGAGCAGTCCGTTTTATTTTGCAGATTCAAGCTGCTCTTCAAAATTTTCACCACCAGATGTCACCGGAGAGGACTGTGTTGAAAAGCTTCGAGTAATGAACCGTTTTTCAATACAAGCTTCAGTGCTTCGGAAAGCTTCATTTGGCCATCACTACCAAAAAGTAACAAAACTGAGACTCCAAGGTGAACTTACGCCAACAGAACACACAGCTAGATAAGGGTAGATCACAACACCGACAAACTGAAACACAGGGCTTAAATACACAGAGGGAGCAATCAGGGAATGAGTAACAGGAGGGAAACACCGCTGGGTCAAATCAAGCCTAACGAGACAAAGGAAGCACAACCAGACGCATTTACATGAGACACAGACTTTCAAAGTAAAACAGGAAACATAACACAGATTGAACTTACAGACACAGACTCACAGGCAGGCACTACAACAGAGGGAACAGAGACGTGGGACCAGGGCAGACACAGACACTGACTGGACACGGGGATATAGCAGACCGGGGAGACAGCAACTAAGGATTACACAGAGACATAAACCATAAGACAGAACTGTAACAAAGAAACCAAAGACTAGAAATAATAAATAATATAATAAACTCAAAACTCTGGGTCAACAACCCAGGCATCCTAACAGTATCACACGTCCTGTTTTCCACCTGGAGACTGCGTTTACACAGCAAAAAAAAACAATCAACTACACAACACACTAACTACACACAACAAACATACTAAACATTGACTTTAATGACTTTCATTTTGGTTTATTGTAAACTACAATACACAAATATCAAATTATGAAATTCAGTTCATCTGTTTGTGTGTTTCAAATTGAACTATTCAAACAAATTTAAACCAAAATAACATACAAGTATTAGGGGGTAAACACATAATTATGGCATTTCCTGTATGATGCCTCTGTGGTGTTTGCCTGGCCAATTTCTAGTTACTAAAACAATATATCATGCCTTTACCACTGAAAATGTGCATATGAAATGAGCAGTGACTGGTTGCCTTGATCTTGGATTGTAAAATAATTATTTTAAGACTTGTATGCTGATCAACTGTGTGAAATTTTTGACAGCTCAGGAAATGTATAATTGAGTTGTAATCACTTTTTATGCTGTGGCAAAGGATTGAAATTCACTGTCGCCCAATGGACATGCCCTAATCGATGCTCAAAAGCTTTAAAATTGCTTTGTGCCATCAAAGCTCAGGTCCTCCACAACCATCTGCAACCACTAAAGGGTAACATTTTAATGAAAATTGGATTTTATATTAATAGGAATAAGCCAAAAATGGAAATGGTGACAAAATACTTATGTCAGCTGCTCCTCAGAATCAGAATCAGAAACTTTATTGTCATTGTCACAAGAACAATGAAATTAAGAATGGTCCCCGATCATTGCATCATCCCTAGCAATATCAAAATATAAATAAAACAATAAAATTCAATAAATAAAATAGATAGAATACTTAAAATATTAATAAGACGTAACAGTAAAACATTCACATACATTCCCACACACATGCTTCAGACCGTGCATAGATTAACACAAGAGTGGTGTGATGGACATTTTTTTTGTAGTATTCAGATGTGTTATTGCAGTTGGATAACAGCTGTGTTTGAGTCTATTAGTCCTTGCACTGATTGCCCTGTACCGTCTGCCTGAGGGCAACAGTTCAAACAGGGAGTGGCCAGGATGTGAGGTGTCTTTTATGATGTTTTGGGCCTTTTTAAAACAGTGGACGTTGTGTAGAACTTCCAGTGTGGGGAGAGGGCAGCCAGTGATCTTTTGGGCGGTGTTAATGATCCCTTGGAGTGCTTTCCTCTGAGCCCCTGTGCAGCTAGTGTACCAAATACATATGCAGTAAGTTAGAACACTGTCAATGGTGGCTCTGTAGAAGGACACCAGCAGTCTCTGTGTGATGTTATTCCTCCTGAGAATTCTCAGGAAGTACAGTCTCTGTTGGGCCTTTTTCAGCAGCTCGGAGGCGTTCACACTGCAGGAAAGGTTCTCCTCTATATTGACTCCCAGGAAGCAGAAGCTTGCCACCCTTTCTACACAGTCCCCATTAATGAATAGTGGTTGGATCTCTGCCTTTTTCCTTCTGAAGTCTATTATGAGTTCTTTGGTTTTTGAAGTGTTGAGGAGGAGGTTATTGGCCACCATGACGTCAGCTGCTCCACCTCGTCTCTGTACGTAGACTCGTCTCCCTTGGAAATGAGCCCCACCACTGTGGTGTTGTCTGCAAATTTCACAAAGATGTTGCTGTGGTGGCGAGGAGTGCAGTCGTGTGTGTAGAGAGAGTAGAGCAGTGGACTGAGCACACAGCCCTTGGGTGAGCCAGTGCTGAGACTCAGGGCTGAGGATGTGTGATGGCCAACTCTGACTCTCTGTCTACGGCCCGAGAGGAAGCTGTTGATCCACATGCAGGTGCTGTATGGAAGCCCCAGGTCTTGTAGCTTGGCCACCAGTTTGTGTGGAAGGATGGTGTTAAAAGCTGAGCAGTAATCCACGAAGAACATCCGCACATAGCTACCATGCTCTTCCAGGTGTGTTAATGCAGCATGGAGTGCTGTGGCTACAGCATCTTCCGTGGACCGGTTTGCTCTGTAGGCAAACTGGTGTGGATCTAGGCTGCGGGGCAGGGCTGCTGTGATGTGTCTGCGGACCAGCTTCTCAAAGCATTTCATCACCACTGGGGTGAGTGCCACCGGTCTGTAGTCGTTCAGGCCGGTGATGTGGGGCTTCTTAGGCAAGGGGACTATGGTGGAGGACTTCAGGCAGAGTGGGACAGTCGCCTGTGCGAGGGATTTGTTGAAGATCCTGGTGAAGATCCCAGCCAGCTGTTCTGCACAATCCCTCAATATTCGACCTGGCACACCATCAGGACCCGCCGCCTTCCTCGGGTTAACAGCCTGCAGCATGCACCTCACCTCGTGCTCTTCCAGGGTGAGGGGGGTGCTGCTATGGGTGGCGTGTTGCTGCTGTGGCTCCAATACCTCCGGTACCATGGTCTCAAAGCGGGCGAAGAAGATATTCAGCTCCTCTGCCAGCTGCAGGTCACCGTCCGCAGCTCCGAGATTGATCTTATAGTTGGTTAGGTGTGGCAAGGCCTCTTTATTTACAAGAGGTCACCAGAGCAGATGGATTCATATATTTGATTTGGCAGAAATTTCACACTGGGTGCCCTTCCTGATACAACCCCACCCAAGGTTTTATGTCTCCTCCCTGTCTCCAACCAGAGATTGTTTGTGTGTTAGGAAAATGTGTTAACCACTATATTACAAAGTCCCAAAGAACAAGTTTGAAAGCTTTGCAGCAAAAACTAGAGAATTGTATTATTGTATTACTTGTATTAATAAGTGTATTACTTTCATTGATTTGACTTTTTGGTTCCACTTTAAACTGTAGGAACTTCAGATGAGGAGGTGAGTGTAAAGGAGAACATCAGTGGAAACAAGGAGGTAAGAAAGTCATCATTTTTTTCATATAGGACATTTTACTTTACTACACTATATAACATTATAATTTCTTTACATAGAGTACATATTTATTTGCTTATTTTCTGCAGCCAGTGAAGGTTTCTGGAGAAATCAAAAAGAAGAACTCATGTCAAAAACAAACCGAGATACTGCTTGGCAGACTTCACCTTCAAGACAAATTTCAAGATAAGTTTCCACCAGCAGATTTTCTTCAGATACATTCACCTGTGAAACAGAACCATGTGACATCTGAGAAAGATCTAGCTCAGATGTTTCTTCACAGGCTGATGATGTTAGACTACAGAGTCAGATACATTCCTGTAAAATCAGACAGTCAGACAGAGGGGAACCATCCAAAACCTGTTCAGGTGATTGACATAACTGAGGAAGATTTCAGTAATTTGGGGCTTTTGTGTTGTACAGTTATTTCATTTTTAACCTTAATTTATATTCTATTCCTTCCTAGTTAAATTTACCCTTTTAATTTTCATATTTATTTCCTATCTTATTCATAGCCTTTTCCTTTTTGTTTTCTTTAGGTCACGAGCAGTTGTCCAAGCATTTCACTACATATCGTACTGTGTATGACTGTGTACGTGACAAATAAAATTTGAATTTGAATTTGAATTTGCTTTATTAAGAATGGGTGCAGGCACACATGAGACAGAACAAACTCATTTGCATCCAATGGATGTTCAGATGGCAGTATTTCACTGCTCAGACAGCTTCCTTAAACAGATGATGATTACAAAGCTGTCTCAGTGTCAGTATGCCTTACCATTGCTTGTCCCTGACCCAGTCACAATGGAGATCGAGTGTCCTCTGTGGACTTTCAAACAAATAACAAAAACCTGGAAGGTAACTGAAGACGGCTCAAACATCGTCACAATGAAGAGTGTTCCAGTGTGCAAAGCTCAGACACCCTTGGTGTCATTTTTCCGCCTGGGTTCTCTGTCAGTGTCTAAATCTCAGCTGATGAACACTTTGATCAACGACCGTCACAGCACCTTCTTCCACAGAAACTGTCCAGGAAGCACCAAGTCTCGTTATCTGATGGATGGTGTGGCAGAGATTGCCTGGTACTGTCCTGCTGGAAAACCCAATGATGCCTTCAATGACTGCATTGCTTTTTGTAATCTTCATGGTTATGCTCTGTTGACTGAAAAACGGCGCGACATACTGATTGAAAAATCTTCCATCAATATTATTCTTTTTGCTTCTCTGCAAAAGCATGAAGAAAGTCAATCATTTATATCAGGTCTTTTTAAATCTCGCAAACCTCTCATTTGTCTCTGTGTTGATGACTGTGATGTTGTAAAGACAACAACTGGACAATACATCATAGGTCTCAAGGACAGAAGCCAGTCAGATGTATCTGAAGAACTGAAACAAATCATTAGAGAAGTTTTATCTGTAGATGGATCCAGCTTGAAACCATCTTTCCAGCTTGAAATGATGGCTGAGGTCTCTGGAATCAGAGTGGATGAAAGCGTCCCAGCCTGTCAAAGAGGGAAATCTGCTGCTATGATAATAATGGATTTGATTAAAAAGAATAACATGGATGTCTCAAAGCTGAAAGATGAATTCCTTCCTTATCGAGGTGATCTGTGGCATCAGTGGAGCAAAATACACAAAGAACTGTATCATCTCAGAGGAGACATCGAAAATGAGAAATGTAAAAAGCAACAACAACTGATGAACATACGCCAGAAACAATGCGCTGCTTCCTGCAGTAAACTGATGGAGTTGTTCATTGAAAGTCTCTCATCTTTGCCACTGACAGACAAACAGTATTTTCTGAAATGGATTCAGATATTAATAGATGATCTCTCCACAGATGAGCTTTCCTCAGTTCTCCAAAGTTATGATAAAAAATGGTCTGAGGTCTTGGCTTTAAAGAACAAATGCAATAAATCAGATGTGTTATCAATAAAACAAACTGAGCTTGAAGAAATTTCCAGAAAACTGCAGTCTGCAACTTTTGGTTTGGAGCACATTTTCAGAGAAATGGGACAGATCTATGAAGCTCATAGAGCAATAGAAGGAGAGAGCAGACACACTGACTGGTCTAAATACCCTGAGCTGGCTGCACAGCTGATGATATCAGGACACCCGATGGAGCTGATGGATGGTGATGCAGGTCACGTGCCTTTAACATGGATCTCCAGTCTTTTAGAGGAAGTCATCAAGAAACTGGGGGACCAGACAGTTTTTGTGTTGTCAGTTTTGGGCGTACAAAGCAGTGGAAAATCGACAATGCTGAACACCATGTTTGGGTTGCAGTTTGCAGTGAGTGCAGGCAGGTGCACCAAAGGTGTCTTCATGCAGATGCTCAAAGTATCAGAGGAGATGAAGAAAGACTTGAAGTTTGACTATCTTCTAGTGGTGGACACTGAAGGACTACGTGCTCTTGAGCTGGAAGGTAACACCACTCTTCACCATGACAACGAACTGGCAACATTTGTTGTTGGTCTGGGAAACCTGACACTGATCAACATCTTTGGAGAGAATCCATCTGAGATGCAGGACATCCTGCAGATTGTTGTTCAGGCTTTTATGAGGATGAAGAAAGTTAACCTTTCTCCCAGTTGTGTGTTTGTTCACCAGAATGTTACAGATGTCGCAGCAGCAGAGAAAAACATGGATGGAAAGAGACGCCTGCTAGAAAAACTGGACCAGATGACCAAACTAGCAGCTGAAGAGGAGTTTTCCAGTGCAGAGTGCTTCAGTGACATCATTGAGTTTGATGTCCAAAAAGATGTGAAATACTGTGCCCAGCTATGGGAGGGCAGTCCACCCATGGCTCCTCCTAATCCAGGTTATAGTGAGAGCATCCAAGAAGTGAAGAACACCATCCTCTCTAAAGCTTCAAAGTCTGCTGGGATCACTCTCACACAATTCAAAAACAAAGTCCAGGACCTGTGGAGTGCCCTCCTCAATGAAAACTTTGTTTTCAGTTTTAAAAACACACTTGAAATTGCAGCATACAGAAAACTGGAGTCCCAGTACGCAAACTGGACCTGGGCCCTGAGGAGCAACATGTTGACCATTGAAAACCAACTTCATAACAAAATTGAAAATGGAAATCTTGACAAGGTCGAAGCAAACTATCTTAAAAAAGAATCACATGAAACACATGAAACAATCCAAACGGAAATGACAACATACTTTGAGGAGGACAAAGACAAAGAAATCTTGGCTCAATGGAGAGGCCGATTTGAAACCAAAATTAAAGACTTTTGTGATGAACAGGAGAGCATAGTGAAAAGAAAACTGGATGAAGTTATTCAACAGAAGAAAGCTCGTGAAAAGCTGGATGATGAGAAGAAGGAGTTTGAGGACAAGCTGCTACAGAAGAGCAAAGAGCTCGCTCAGCAGCTGAAGGATAAGGCCAATGACGAAGAAGAGCTAAACCAACAGTTCAGCTCTGTTTGGAGTGACTGGGTCACTGAATTGACAGCAGATACTAAACCTGTTGAAGACATCAACTTGAAAGAAGATCAGTTTATTATCCTTAAAGAACTTGGTTTTGAAGAGACTCTGATAAATGAACGCAAACAAAATGGCAGATACAAGGATATGTCAAGGCTTGGAGATTATACAGATTATGTCATCCTTCCAAAGAAAGGAAATCTCTCTGACACAAGTGAATCAACTCAAGATATTGAGGAGGATAACAATCACACAAGTAGACCAGAAGAACATGTTTCAGGACCTGTCAGAAATGCTTGGGAATATATAAAAAAAACATTTAGATACAATTCAAAAACAAAAAAAAACCAACATAAATCACACAGTGCTTTATCCTGGAATGAACAGCAAGAGATCAGACTGCTTATTGACAAAGCTGACAAACAGTCACTTGTTGCAATTAAAGACAAACCTGTGGCTACAAGAGGCTACACACAAACTCACTTGCACGAGGTGGCCAAAAACGTAAAAGAAGAAGTGAAGAATTTCCCAATGATATATAATTTGAAAAAGGAGTTTACAGTCGATCTCATACTGTATGTGTTTGACAGAGCAGAGAGTTGGCTTCTAGACTCCCAGAAGAAATTTAAAATGAACACAGATGCACTGACTTATTTAGAAAGCAAGAAAACACAGTTTTACACAGTCTTTAGAAGCTTTTGCAAAGAAAGCTCATCTGCTGTTGTGCTTGCAGAATTGATCTGTGAAAGGTTGAAAGCTTCCACTGTTGAGGCTGTCTGTAACAAGACTGCCATTGGTCTGGCTGGAGAGATGAGGTGTAATTTCCCAGCATTCAATGGGAACAGGCTGAACTTGGAGAAACATGTGCTGAAGTCACTCGCTGAGAATGAAAACTTTAATGATTTCATCACCTACATCAGAAATCCAAGGAGACAAACAGAAGCTTTTATAAAAGCAGAAGTAGAGAAATACATCTTCATAGATCACAGAGATAAAACTGTGAATATACTCAAGAAAAATGTTGATGATGTCAACTCACTGATGAGTCAAGCTTTATCTACAGCAACACAGAATGTCCAAAGTCAGGGAGGAGACATAAAGATGTGGCTGAAGGAATTTTCTAGTTTGCTAAAAGATGAGTTAACTCTTCATACCATTTCTTCTCAAAACTTCAGTGACATCAATGATTTTGAGTTTCTGAAGGAAGAGATAAAGAAAAGACTCGATTCCATCATTGAGCAAACTAGCAGCCTCTCTTTGGGGAAACTGAAGGAATCCAGGTTAAAACCTGATGAAATCCTCATTGATCAGCTGTGTAAGTGCTGCTGGGTAACGTGTCCCTTCTGTGCAGCTGTTTGTACCAACACCATTGAAGGTCACAGTCCTGATGACCACAGCGTCCCTTTTCATCGACTCTCTGGAATCAAAGGATGGCACAAAAGAGGCACAGTGGAATTCAGCGTCAATTTTTGCACAACAAATGTTGCAAGTGATGGCAGATTTTATCCTCATCATAATTCAGAGAAATCTGTTCCCTATAAACTGTACAGAACTGCTGGTCCAGAGTATGCTAACTGGAGAATCATCCCTGATGAGTCTAAGCTGGCGTACTGGAAGTGGTTTGTGTGTCGATTTCAAAATCAGCTGGAAGGGTACTATAAGTACAAGTTCCAGGGAAGAGGAGAGATTCCTAGTGAGTGGAAAAAAATCCCTAAGGATGAAGCTATTAAAAGTCTGGATGAAATGTGTTAAAGCATCAGAGAAACAAAACCCTTCAGTTTTGGTTTCACATTGTAACTCATTACTCAAATGAGTAGAGTTTTTAGTGTCATAAGTAAAAGTGCAGGGCTTTGTAGAGATGACAGCATTGCTACAGGGAAGCAGAAGTAGTGTCTGAGATTATACTGTTTTTTAATGTGATAATGGCTTAACATTTAAAAGTAACTATTATTAATATGTTCTTTTACAATAAATACTTTCTCTATGGATTATACTGGAACAAATAACTTGATTTTACTTTTTTCTTTTCAGGTTCTTTTGTTCAGGTTGTTATAGATCATGTAAAATTATAATTCTTCATTCCTTTTTTTGTCTTTCACATACAATAATAATATTAATAATAATAATATATTCTCAGTCATCTGAATTTGTTTCAAATTGATTTTCTGTAATGTGTTTTTGTCATCATGTTTAAATAATGATATATATTGGTCCTCATATATTGATTCTCAGTTGGTCTAATCACAGTTAGAGAAACACAACTGTTTTTTTATATTACATGAAAATTCATTCACAGATTTAAGGCTGATTTGTTTTGTTTACCTAGTTGGTACATTTAAAACTAGTTATCCAGACTGAGTTTACTTAAATTAGAATTTTATCCTGTTTTTCTCCATTTTATCCTGAATATTGTCCTAACTATTGTTTTTATGATAAAATCTTTTTACAGGTTTTTATAAGTGTGCCATTCAGTAACAAGTATAAGATGAACATTGGTGTTATCTGTGTGCAAATGCGTTATGATAAAATAAAAGACTTTCTTTCTGACATGCAGTGAAAATTGTGTGGCATTTATATACTTAGAACTGAGTCTTTCTATTTTGTGTTTGTGTGGGTTCTCTTCAGGTACTTTCTCCCACAGTCCAAAGACATGCAGTCAGTGGGGACAGGTTAATTGGTAATTCTAAATTGCATTTAGGTACCCTTAACATGGGTAAGCGGAAGAGGATGGATGGATGAACTGTTATAGGACCTGCAGTCTTCATCATTCAGCACTTGCCCTTCTTCTATTGCACTTTTATCTTTGTGATTGCTAATAGTTATATGTTTCTTGGTAATTCTTGTTAGGCGGATGTGATTACTATGTGGTAGCTAAAAGAAACAGAGTTAGGGGGCTTTTTGGTGTTGTGTTGTTCTGTTTGTTTATTTAAATTATTATAGGTTAAGGTTTTGTAGTAATAGTTTTAATGAAGTGCCAGTAAAAAAAAGACATGTTCAAGAGCAGAAGGGGTGGGCATTTGTAAGTACTTATCAGCTGTTTTTACTGTTTTATAGTCTAAATTTAGTTTCTCCCACACAAAACAGCTTTCAAGCACTTCCACTGACAAATGGCTGCAATACTATAGTATATAGTCGCAACGGTAGAGAACGTGTTCAGTAAACCTACCAGTACAACAGCATACAAAACTGTATTACAAGTTCAGGTCTTCCATGAAAAATTCCTAATTTAATAATTAAAGGATAAAATTAGCTTGATAAATACCGAAGTTTTTCGAACTACCACTTTAACCTGTTTTGCTCAAAATGACGTCATAGCTACTGATGATTTAAGGTCATGTCAGTCAGACCTTTCTCCAGTTGTATTTTGATCCATTATGATCTCTGCAAGATTCTGGCACAGATTTAACTAACCATAAATAGGCAGAGTAACATAACTATAAATCGACAGAGTAGAAGATAAACCAATATTGATTATAAAATAAATAATCTTGAAAGAAAATAAACATTTGTTTTAATTAACGGTCAAAAAATTAATTCCTAAAGAAAGCTATTACAGCATTTTCCACATTTACTCATAAGTTTGACCTCCCGATCTACTGCCATTGATAAAAGCTGACGAACTAATAGCGCCCCAGAAGTTCAGAGGAAGGTTTCTGCTGCCCCCTGGTGTTTGGCTGTAGTATATGCCTGGATAGAAGCATTTACAGTCTCTACCAGTGTTGACATGCAGGTGGAGCCCTTAGGTTCCTAAACAAGATCACAAATCACTCGCAGCTTTCACACAACCGCGCCATTTATAAACTCGCACCTACTGTTCTAAAAAAAAAAAAAGCAAAAAAAAACAAACAAAAAAAGGACAGTGGTTGGGGGTGATGGTAAGAGTGTTATGCACTGCATTTTCATCATTTATCCCCCAATCATCCAACATACTGAAAGAATAGGTTCCACCTTAAGATATGTGCTGATTTAGGGAAATAAAGCAGTTAAAATTAAAATTAACACCTCGCTCAAAATGTACCTTAAAGGAATAATTAAGCATATAAGTACAACTGCTCAGTATATGCTTGAGGCAAATGTTGTGTTACCTTAGTTAACACAGGTCTGTGTACTTTGCTGCAACTCTGGTAGTCTTCCTTTGTGGTAAGGCCAACACCTCACTGGGTGCCACAGTCCTGATTAATTCTGCTCTCTGACATTTCATGTGGTTTCATGCACTTTTATGGACTGAGACAGGAACGACATTTTATTAATGAGACCTCATTTAGAAATAGAGGCAGCATTTGGATGCAGCTGGTCTCTGCTTAAACCGTGTGGTTTTTACATGTTTTGCATCTAGTTTTAATTAATGTAAAACATGCAAAACATATGTGCGATATATGGATGTGTGATACCATTAGTTCAGTTTCAGCCGTCACGGTGTTTATTAAGCCGCACATTGTAATGACAAACTGATTTTGATCCTGTGTGTATATTATATGCAATGAAAAAATTTCAAATTGTATGTTAATTAATAAAAAAAAATGCATGATTAAGATCGAAGGTCTGAAATGTTGCGTCGTTCTGATCATAAGCTGGGTTTCTCAGGGAGCCTTTCCCCTCATGAAAGTTAAAAGTTGTGGTGTTGCCCTAAAACAAAGTCCGTGCTTTGTGAACTTCAACATCAGAGGCCACGAGCTGGTTAAAGGTTATATGTAAGCAGGGTGTGCAAATGTTGAACTACGATAACTGATAATCAGTGAATGGCTGGTGTTATTTGATACCATATCTCAATAGATTTTGTAGGATGAATGAATCAAAGAGTACAGTGAACTTATGTTCAGCAAACATGATTTGAGCTTTGTAACTGGGTTATGCTGCTAAAAAGGTAAAAAGATGCCATCAGAAGATGGGTAATCAGCAACAATACTTAAGTAGGTTGTGGGATTTTAAACAAGGCAGGATGCTTTGTTGTTTGCCGCTGCCATTTGAATGTTGCAGTAGAAACTAAGACTCACGAGACCAGGAAATCGTTTTTCAGCCTTCTGTTGTCCAGTTTTGGTGAGCTTTTTAGAATTGTAGCCTCAGATTTCTGTTCTTAGCAGACATGAGTGGCATCTAATGTGGTCTTTTGCTGCCATAATCCACCCACCCTCTTCGAAGTTCAATGTGTTCTGCACTCAGAGATGCTCTTCTGCATCTTTGAGATGTAATAAGTTGCTGTCTTGACTTCCCGTCAGTTTAAAGCAGTTGAGCCATTCTTCTCTGAAATCAAGTGCACATTTTCTCCCAGAGAACTTGACCATTCTGTGAAAACCCAGTGACTGTAGAAAAATCCCACATCAACATTTTGTGAAATACAAAGATCTCTCCGGCAGTAACAACATCATTCAGAGTTACTTAAATCACCTTTCTTCTTCATTGTCTAAGGAGCTTGGAAAGAAAAGCATCTGGACTTTAAGCTGCTTGAAGACGTTTCACCTCTCATCCAAGAAGCTTCTTCAGTCCCAGATTTAAACCCTGTGGGAGTATCCCCCCAAGAGGGAAAAAAGGACCCCCTAATGATCCTCTACCTAATCACATGAGCCAAGGTGCGAAAACGAGTGTAGGTCACAATCACCCATGGTTTCAAGTGAGCTCATTGGGAAACCTAGCCCCACCCTATCATGGGATTTCCTGAGGTCAGATGGACCAGGGTATGAGTGGGCGTTAAGGGGTCTGGAAGGGATCTCAAAACTGGATTATAGATGGCAGACAGTTGGTGTCATAAGCCACTGCCTCTGTTCAAAGATGGTCGCTCATAGATGGCTTCTTTCACTCCTCTTTCAAACAATCTGTCCTCTGTGCCCAAAATGTGAACATTGGCATCCTCGAAAGAGTGTCCTTTGTCTTTTATATGCAGATGGACCGCCGAGTCTTGTCCTGTGGAGGTGGCTCTTCTATGTTGTGCCATGCGTTTATTAAGTGGCTGTTTGGTCTCTCCAATGTAGAGGTCTGGGCATTCCTCGCTACACTGTACAGCATACACCACATTGTTCAGTTTGTGTTTAGGAGTTTTGTCTTTCGGATGATTCCTCATTCATTGTAGCTTCGTGCTATTAACACTGAAAAATTCTCTGAGAAATGATAGATGGCACATGTCCCGTGATGGTGCGAGTGATTTTCAATAACTTTATTAAAACCATATTGTGACACAGACCAGAACACTTACAGAGCACACAACAGAAATAAATACCATCATGTGTACAGCGCTCATTGCCGAACAGAATTATTGCAGCTGGCTTTTGATTTATGTCATCCAGAAAGGGAGAGGGCATGCTATGTCATCAGACAGAGATACCACCAGGAGCTGGGCTCAGTGTGCCAAACACCCTGCCTGCTTTTTGACCGTAGAGAGCAGTTCCTTAAACACGTCATCGGCTCTGATATACAGCTAGGCTGCGTCTCAATCTAAAACAATCAGCTCCTGCTCAGCTCCGCTCGAGGAGGCATCGGGCTGCTTTAATCAAGGTCCATGTCAGGCTTGCTCTCTGTAGTTTCTGAGGCAGGATTGCCCGCAGCCTCGGTCGTTCCCTTGTCTGCCGCTGCTTCCTGGGGTTTCTCCTGGCCGTCGACGGGCCCGTTCTGCTCTGCAGGGGTCTCCTCTTTGGGAAGCTCCACTTTGGGTTTGGGCTTGGTCACGATCGGGTTACAAGCACCAAAAAGCTCCTGTGGAAAAATGAAATGATGGGTTGATTCAATAAAAACTGAACTAACCCTACAGTCTAATATTCCTAGTGCTTACAATCTTAAACTCACCCTTGTTTTTGCTTTAATGTCTTTGACTTTGACAGATGGATCCACCGCCAGGCTCTGTTTGCTCTGCTGGTTCATGGCACTGTTCATCCAGATCATTGCATCGTTGTTCAGTTTGTCCACCTTGTTTACATCTGCCTCATCTAAATGGTCATACTGCTCATCCTGGAAATCAAACAGGCAATATTATGTGCTGTGCAGGCAACAGAAGCTATTAATAGTAGTTCTCATGTCTTTTAAACAATACCGTGTAAACATATTTAAAAACAAATACATTTCTTAATACTGTAGTTAATAGTAGTCACCTTCATTTTGTAGGCTTCGATAAATT